TGATTATATTGCATGAGCTTAGAGACGGTCCCGAAATGGATTAGCGTGTGCACGTACGGGGGTGTGGACGTGTGGTGTTATACATTTCGACTATGGACGGGGGATTTTGATGTGGGTGTCTACGTCGAGGAGGGGCTGGATCAAGGGGAGGATTTCCTTCGTGGATGGGAAGAGGCGGTAGGCCACTTGCGCGGCGCGAGAGGGGAGTTGAGGAGTTACGGATTTAGATACTTTTATTCTTCGGGTTACCGAACCTACCCTAGAGGGGGGCGTCCGGCGCCGGTGATTCCAAACGCTTATCTTGACGGATCGGATGGGTGGAAAACACTAGTAGGGATCATAAAGAGAGTGGTGAGAACGGCAACTCCATGAGCTTGAGGGCTCTAGAGTTTGAACCAGCGGGAATTAGTGTGGGTGATCGAGGCGAGGTGAACGTGTGGTGCTATAATTTCTACTGGTGGATGGGCCATTTCGGCATAGCCTTGTACGTGGAAGAAAGTGGGGATAGAGAGGCCGGATATTTGGATATCTGGGAGGAAGCGGTCGGTCACACGCAGCTCGAGAGGGAACTGCTAGGGGCTTTTGAGATACAGTACTTCTACTCGTTGGGGTGTAGGGCGTACTCACAAGGGGGTAGGCATGTCCCTACTATTCCATAAGCCTTCCTAGACGGTTCAGACGGGTGGAGAGCGCTTGTTCAAATCATAGAGGAGATAGTCCAAGGGGATGGTTAGGATCATAGAAGGCACTTAAGAAGAAGGGGTCCGAATAGAGAAAGCAGATTTAAGCAAGGAAAGGGAGTGCTTTAGTGTCCCTTTGGACCATCGCACCGAGAGGTATATGGCCGGTCGCGAGAGAGGATTAGAGCTAGAGAAGGGGGTTTTCCTGTGGGCGCGGTTCACGGTAGGCTCTTGGGAAGGGGACAGGTGGTCCCGGAATAGGCCCCAGTGCGGTAAGAGACCGAGACGAACAGTGGTCCGAGTAGAAGGGACTGTCTATCTAAGTGAGGAGGCCTGGGTATATTACATCACCCACTTGGTCCTGGGTTGGTACCGTGCGGATCATTGGGAGGCTCGAGTGGGACCGATCCTCAGGCAGATCTTTGAGGAGGAATCCCTTCAACACTATCCACCGATTGAGGTAAGGTTGACCTGCGCCCGAGACGAGGAATACCCTCGGGCCACAGGGTGCGTCCAGGCCATATTCCCGTCTTTCGTTTTCCGAAGGGTGAGCGGCAGGGTTGTCACACGGGGCACCCCGGGCCGAAGCCGGTGTTGGGATTTGACCCCCGGACACCCGCAGCGGGGGGGAACCACCCCCGGACCCCGCTTGTGCCCCCCGCGGCCGCCCGAACCCCGGGACCCCCGCGGGCACCTCCACACCCCGGCCCCGGCCC